CACAAGCCTGGATCTAAAAATCTACCTTTTTTTTTTTGCGGAACCGGGGTTTGAACTCAGGCCCTTGCGCTTGCCAGGTAAGTGCTTATTCTACTGAGCCATCTCCCTGGCCCTACCTTTTTTTTTTTTTGCGGAACTGGGGATTAAACTCAGGCCCTTGAGCTTGCCAGGCAAGTGCTTATTCTACTGAGCCATCTCCCTGGCCCCAAATCTACCTTTTTATTTTTTATTTTTTTAAATTATTTATTTATTTATTTTTACATTTATTTATTGTGTGTGTGTATGTGGCCAGCTCAGCCCAGCAGGGGGTGGGGCTGGCTGGCATGTGGTGCTGGGGGATTGAACCGTGGTCCACTGTGCTTTGCTAAGCTTGTTCTAAGTAGGTGCTTTAGACCACTGAGCCATCTCTCCAGCCCCCAAATCTACCTTTTTAATTAAAAAAAAAAGGATTCTTTTGAAAACAGGAAAATCTTTCCATATCTCAGTGCAATTGTTATTTGTATCTTTCTACTTGTTATGTTTTATCTGTTCTGTATTTTAGCTATAACCAGTGATTATGAAACACTGAATTTCTATTATCTTTATTTAATATTTCTATAAAGCTCTTGTGTTAGTTTCTGTCCTAGGCCAGATGTTTAGTGAGAGAGCAAACAAGCAAAAGCCCATGTGACCTGTTAGGTGGTGCTCGCTGCCACCGTGAGAGCTAGACGGCACATTGGAGTGTGAACTTCTGGGGGGGCATTTTAAAGATAGTCACTGGAAGCCTAAGAATGAGATCTTGAGCACAGGCGTGAATAAAGTGCAGGGCAAAACCAAGTGGGAGGGCTGGCCAGATAGCTCAGTGGATTAAAGTGCCTGCTTAGGCAGACGCAGGGCCTGGGGTTCAACCCTGGGCTTGTTGTTCTGGACCCTCCACCCTGGAGCACACTGAGGTGGCGATTGAGACTGGGCGTGGTGACACGCACCTGTAATCCCAGCACTTGGGAAGCTGTAAACAGGAAGATCGCTGATCTATGTGGTGAGACCCTATAGACCCTGTCCTCAATACATAACAAAACAAAACAAAGCAAGTGGGGCAAAGTGTACAAATAGGAAAGCAAATGCAGAAGCCCTGGGGCAAGAAGGGGCTTGGGACAGCAGTCATTTTAGTTTCCTTCTCCAGCTTGAGTCTGTCCTGCTCTGTACTGGGAACTGAACTCAGGACCGGCATACTTAACTACATCTCTGTGCCCTGCTGATTAACTGATTGAGGTACTGTTGGTCAAAACCATTATTTAGTATTGAGCTACCTCCTCAGGTCTTTAAAATTTTTTGAGGCTGGGTCTTGCTAAGTTTACCCAGGCTGGATTTGAACTTGTGATTGACCATCCTGCCTCCAGCCTCCCAGAGTGCTGGGACTGTGGGCGTGTGCCACCATGCCCAGCTCTCACTTTGAGCCTAATGAACATCATTATTGCTTAGTAGGAATTTCAACTAAGTCAAAGCCATTCTTTTATAGTAAGTTATCTGTGGCTAAGAACGCTATCAGTGACAGTGAAATACTAACCTTTTGTTCTGTCTTTTGTGTGTGTGTGTGGGTATGTACCGGGAATCAAACTCAGGACCAGGCAGATGCTTATGCTGCTGAGCTATCGCCCCGATTGTTGTGTGAAAGTTCTTTTCTTCCCCTGTCCTCTGCTTGGTTCACAGTGTGGGAGAGGGAGGCTTGGGTGAGGCAGGTAGGAGGCTGGTTAAGGGGCTGGGTGTGTAGTGCTGTGAAAGCAGAAAAGAACCGGTCCAGCCCTAGCTATTCAGGAGGCAGGAGAATTGCAAGACTGTCTCAAAATAAAATTGAAAAAAAAAAAAAAAAAAGCTGGGATGTGGCTCAGTGGTAGTGTGACTGCCTTGCATATATGAGGGCCTACAGGATCCCCAGTATACCCGCCAAAAGCCATCTGGCTAGAGGCACTCGAGCAGAGATCAGACAAAAGATCTAAGATCCCAGCCTGCAGCAGGGCACTGGAGAGGCTGCTGAGCAATGGAGGCCCCTCCTGCCGGCTTAGACCCTTGCTTTCACATGTGCATTGACCTTCCCCACGGACAGGGGCATCCTCTGCAAGCCTGGCTACTCCCCAACCCCAATGGGGCCTTGTGGCTGCTGAAGGAAGGGTGTCGTTAGTGTGGGGCTGCGGCAACATGCATTACTTTGTGCATCTGGACATAGTGCTGCTGCCTTACCCGTGAGAGGTAATTCCTGAGAGGTGATTCCTGTTGGGAATCACCGTCCTCTGTCCTCTCCCTCCTCCCTTTCCCAAGTCCCAGATCTGTTGTTGGCTGCTTGGCAGGGGTCAGGAGCTGTATCTGTCGCAGTGCTGCTTTCATGACCTTGCTTTCCTTGCTTTTGTTCCCAGGTGTAGTGAGAGCACAGGAGACTGCTGCCAGAGTGCTTTCTGCAGCACTCGTGTCTGGTCCTTAGGCCTGTCGCACACCTGCTTCCCAGCCTGCCTGGACTCTGTTTCCAGCTGGAGCCCCAGGCTTTCAAGGTCCTCTAGCTGGGCTCTACCTTCTTCATGTCACCTGTTGTCCTGATTTTCAGAGCATCTTCTCTATTCCTCTCCCAGTTGTTCTTCTTCTCATAGAGGTCCTGTGATCTGTAGAGGTTGTGCCACAAACATCGTCCTATGTGCATTTGTTTTGTTATCATGTTGTGATTGAAAATGTTAGGGTGGGAAAGAAATTACCGTCTGTTTCTCTTTTGTCTAATTGAGGGTGTAGTCAGCATCCAGGAAGTAGGCCACATTGGCCTGGGAGTGAGGGAACACTGCTGCTCATCTTTTCCATCTCCTGATTGAAGTTTAAAGCAAGTGAATTTTAGAAGAAAACCTCTTTTTTTTTTTTTTTTTTGCGGAGTTCAGGATACAAGCTGGGAAGAAGGTAAAAGATGCAAAGCCAAGGAAGTAGAGTTTATATAGCCCAGGCTGGCCTCAAACATGGCCATCTTCCTGTCTCAGCCTGCTGAGACCCCGGATTACACGCATGTGCCACGATGGCAGGTCAGTATTGAGACAGGGTTTTGCTGTGTAGTCCAGGCTGGCCTGAATGAAGGACCTACAGGCATGCACCACCATGCCTGGCTCAATGCTTAGTTTTATGTTGTGAACAACATAGCTTAATAAAAAAATGCACGGTTTTTAACCTCAGTAGGACTAGGACGTTGGGGAGATTTTTCTACTTTGGCTCCAGCATTGTACAGATAAACTGAGGCACCCAGAATTTAAATGATTTAAGCCTCAGAGTTCATTAATAGTATTCATTTAATGCTATAACCATAAATTTAGCAAGTGTCCCCACACCCCTGTTGCACTTGGTGAATAGTCAATTCAGTGCCTACTGTGAAATGCAGTCTGTACAATGTGGCTATTGGAGGTGGGGTGGATGAGGGAGAGTAGCTCTGGGCATGGCGACAAGGAGCATAGCAATTGTCATTTGGGAACAGAGTCCACTTATATGCACATTTCTTTTTTTGTTGGTTTGCTTGTTTGTTTTGGTGGAACCAGGGATTGAACTCAGGCCCTTGCGCTTGCCAGGCAAATGCTTATTCCACTGAGCTGTCTCCCCGGCCCCTATGTGCACATTTCTTGTCAGAGCATCTTAGATTAGACCTGAGGTGTCCCCCAAAGGCCATGTGCTAATGGCTTCGATGCCAGCCTGTAGCACTCTTGGGAAGTAGAGCAACTTTATGGGTCCTAGGGAAAAGAAGTGGCAGTGCCCTTGAAGGAGTAGTAGGGCTTAACTCCTGAAGAAGGCTTCACTGTGCCGCCAGCTCACCTCATAGCACTCTGTTCACCGCAGGCCCAGAGAAAAGCATGGACTGCGCCCTTTGAAAGCACGGACCAAAATAAATCTTTCCTAGAACAGCTATAATCGAGGAGTCAAATAGTAGCAAGTGCTGGTAAGGATGCAGGGAAAAGGCACCCTTCTACGTTGCTGGTGGGCATGTGAACTAGTACAGCCACTGTGGAGATCGTTATGGAGAATTCTCACAAAAAAACTAAAACTAGGAGTTCCATCCAACCCAGCTGTTCCTTGCCCCTAGATGTCGTCATACCTGTGTTTCTATTAGCACAGTTCATAATGGCTAAATCTTAGAGCTCACCATAAGCTCTGTGATGGCAAGGACCATGTTGGCTTTTAAATTTTCTTCAAATCTTCAACGAATTGAAGCCTATTTAGAGATTGTTTAGTTGATTTTGTTTGTACTTTTCAATATTTTATTATGGAAATGTCAAATCTATAGCAAGGTTGAAAGAATATTGTGATGAACACTTCTATGTCATTGAGATTCTGCGTCACCTTTTTTTTTTTTTTTTTTTTTTGCAGAACCAGGGTTTGAACTCAGGCCCTTGTGCTTGCCAGGGAAGCACTTTTTCCACCGAGCTATCTCCCCAGCCCTGCTTCACCTTTATTTAAAAATGTATTTGGTACAAGGTCTCACTGTACAGCTTGGACTCATAGTGATCCTCCTGTTTTCAGCCTCCCCAGTGCTGGGATTACAGGCATGCGCCACCACGCCCTGTCTCGGTGGCTGGCTCAGCGTGCCTGGGGATGGGGCCGGTGCAGTGTATGGTGCCAGGAATCAAACCCCAGTTCCTGCACTTGCCTAAGCAGGTGCTTCGTCTGCTGAGGCGTCTCCCTGGCCCCCATCACCTCCTTTTTATGGTTAATTGCACATCTCTTTATTAATGTACCTCATTTGGGGTTTATATGAAAGATAGTTGTAGGTTATCAGGGAGCAGAGTTTGAACTGGGAAAAGCCGAGTAGAAGTCTCCTTCAGGCATCAGGTGTCACTACTGCCCTCACATGGCAACAGGTCATGCTTTTTTGTCATTCTGTTAGATTTTAAAATGATTGCAGCCTTGAACATCATCCACAGGCACTTCCTGGGTTGCAGGTATCATGGTGACATTGCTGCCATGGCTTTGCCACCATCCTGGGCTTCACCACTCTACCCTCTGTCTAGGAGTTGCACACCGGAGCCAGAGCAGCGAGGGAGTCAGCTCTCTGAGCAGCTCGCCCTCCAACAGCCTAGAGACGCAGTCCCAGTCCCTGTCGCGCTCCCAGAGCATGGATATCGACGGCGTCTCCTGTGAGAAAAGGTAAGAGAAGCCAGTGCTCTGAGAAAAAGGAAAGGACCTGTTGGCTTCCGTCTCAACCCTGTGGTCTGAAATGCCCGTTTGAGACCTGTGGCAGTCGGTAGCAAGCTACAGCCAAAATTCTTAAATGGAAAGGCCCTCCCATCATTCTGAAGTATGCTTTATGTGTATGTTTTGTTATTAAATACCTTATTAATGACCAGGCAGTGTGGCACCCCTGTCATCTCACTACTGAAGAGACTGAGGCAGGAGGATCCCCACAAGTTTGAGGCCAGCCTGGGCTACCTGGTGGGACCCTTTCTCAAGATAGGACAAAAAGTGTCTTTTATAAAATAGTATATGTGGGTTTTTCAAGTCTTTCCAGCGTCTTTACTTTGTAACTACAAAGTGGGCAAACATACATGAGTCTCTAAAAGTTTTCTCACAGTTTTGCTAATCACTGAAATGTTAAATTTTGGAAAATTCCAGATAGAGGATGTACTCTACATTTTTTTTTAAAGCGACCGTAAGGAAATGACTACTCGGGAAAAATGTATAAATTCCCACTTAACATGGGAAGGCCTTATGATGCTTATGCCTTTGATCTACTTGGGTTCATTTCCCTATAGCATTTCCCAGTTACGTACCACACCGATTGCCTTTTGACTATCTTGGGAGTTTATCTCTCTCCCTCCAGGATAGAAGCATTATAAGGCAGGGGTCTTTTTAGTCTCTCTTTGTGCAACAGTCAACAGTATCTGCTACATCAAGAACAGTGCCTGCATAGAAGAGCACTCAGTGCTACTTGTTACTGAAGCAGAGACTCCTGTGAAAAATATGAATGTGCACAATACATGTAAATTTGAAATCTTGGGGTTAAATCATAATTCTAGGAGAATATTCTCTCCAAGATTGACTCAGTGGACAAGAGAGAAACCAAGCAATCAAAACCCATGAGGTACATTGTCAGTATTTAAAATTTTCTTGTCCAGTATACACAGAGTTTTTCCCCCAGATAATTAAAAACATAGAGAACATTTGAACTCAGTTTATGAGGCCATTGTGACCTTATAGGTCTGACAAGACTAATATCAAGAAACAAAATTACATTTTATTTGTTTATTCATTTATTTACTTATATATTTGGTACAGAGCCTACAGGGTCTCACTACACAGATCAGACTCAGTGATCCTCCTGTTTTCAGCCTCCCAAGTGCTGGGATTACAGGTGCGCGCCACTGTGCTTAGTCTCATTTGCTGTCTCAGCACGTCTTGGGGGTGGGGCCAGCACAGCGTGCCAGGGATTGAATCCTGGTCCCTGGGCCTGCCTAAAAAGGCGCTTTAATCCACAGAGCTATCTGGCTGGTTCATACATTTGAATTTTTTTTGGTGGGGAGGGGTGGTACTGGGGATTGAACTCAGGACCTTGTGCTTGCTAGGCAAGTGCTTATTCTGCTGAGCTATCTCCCTAGCCCAGCCCATACATTTTAATCATACTCTCAAACTCTAAAATACTGACAAATCAAACACTGAAAATATATAAATACATGAGAGCCAGGCTGGTTAGATGTCAATACTGGGGTCAGCATGCAAAAGGGGAATGGAGTTTGGGGGTTGTATGCTAACATTCCAGTTCCTGATCCAGGTGCTGATTACATTTGTATGTTTATTTGCCATAATTTATTCACCCAGACAGACGTATTCCTATGCATGTTTCTGGGCATTTCAATGATAAGTTTATTTTAAAAATAAATATACTGTGATCAGTGTGAGTTAAACTCAGGAGCTTGAGAATGAATTAACATTAGGAACTCTAAGCATCTCCTACTGTGTTGTGCATTAAAGAAAAGATCCTTAGAATGTTGGCAGCTGCAAATCTGATAAAGTCCCATACTGGTCCATGATGAAAGTCTTAGCAGATGGCAGAAAGAAGTGCCTGGAAGCCATCAGGGTGAAGCTCAACATGTCGCACATGCTGGGTAGAGGGTGGCAGGTCCTGGGTTTCATCTCTAGCACAGAGAAAGATAAAAGGCAAAAAGAAACTGCAGCATGGCAGAGAGGGATATCTGGCGAGCTCTCTGACCTTTCCCAGCCTCTCTCTGCTGGCCAGCAGCCATAGGCCTGGTTGTGTCCAGCAGACATGAGTGGGAGTGACAGTGACAGGCCAGCTGGCGCGCTCCTCCTTTGTACTGTCCCACCCTCGGGACCGTGCGCCTGTGCTGCAGCTGGGAGACCAGAGGTACCTTGGGTGCTTCCCTCCTTGCACCAGACTTGGTGCAAGCCAGAACTTGACTCTTACGGGGTCCAACTCCTGGCTCCCTGAGCATGTTGTTAGGACGACATAGACATCATGTTCTGGCTTACTGAGGGGCGTGGGTCCCCCAACTCTAGCAGCTCACATTCTGTGACTAGAATCAGTCTCTGTAAAATGAGAACTAGGACTAGGAAGACTGCTCTTTTTGCCTCTGGCCAATGTGTGGACTCTGCCCAGTGCAGTGAGTAGTAAGAATTAGGGTGGGAGAAAGTGAACAGTTACTACTTGGAGATAAGATTGTGTATGTAGTACACCTGAGGGATAAGTAAATGTTGCTTATAAGAGGCGTGCACTAAACATCGTATTATGTGCCAAAAACTTGAGAAAATTTCATTTTTAAAAAGGTACCACCTGGGTATGGTGGTGTGCACCTGAAATACCAGCCCTCTGAGCATAGTCTGGGTAATTTAGGATTTAGTAAGATACTGTTGCATCCATCTGTCAGTCAGTCAGTCAGTCAGGCTGGGAATATAGCTCAGTGCAAAGGCCCTGGGTTGATTCCTATTACTGGAAAAAAAAATGAAGTGATTACTGTCTACTTTCTTTTTTTTAAATTTTATTTATTTATGAGAGAGAGAGAGAGAGAGAGAGAGAGAGAGAGAGAGAGAGAGAGAGGTGTGTGT